ATGGGAGATTATTCTGACTGCTTATTTTTCATTATGACTTTTTTTGTTTGCAAGAGCCAGTTTGTTATTTAACACAGCACCTTGATAGCTCCCTCGAAATGAATTGGCCATTACAGATCATTAGGAAAGCAAAGAATTCTGTTTTCAAGCAATCCATTACGTGTCTGGGAAACTATCTCTACTTAAAACAAACTTTGAACGAAACGCTGGCATCATCGCTTTAATAAAAGGAGCAGCATTTTTTCAAGTACATTTTTTCCTTTACGAGATTTCTTGTTTATTCAAAACGCAGAGATCTCAAATGTAGAGCGAACGAGACTATTTGCCCAAACGGCTTGCTTTTACAGTAAAACTATCACAGAGTGTTTTAATTTCCTCGAACATTGTTATAAAAACACAGATCGCGCACGTAGCTTTGCGACTTCGCTTCCCAGCAAAGCAGAAATTATTCCAGCCCCCGCTTTTAAATAAAGAAGGTCGCGTTTGAAAATATATTCCAATTGCAGCTTTATAGACCGGCATTCCCACTAAAACAGCAGGGACAGAATTGCTTTGCTGTTTAAAGACTAAAATATAACGGATGGAAAGATTTTTATACCTTTCGTGCAACTAGTTGAGAACTACAACGGCGTTGGTTGCTAGCGACAGCCAGATACTTTCTGTCGGACGCTGTGAAACGCATCAGGGTCGGGAGGAGCGCGGGGGGGAGAAGTCGAGCTCCTGGGACTCTGCTATGGAAAGCGAACATCGGTTTACACCGTGACCCGCCTGTCAGTTTACACCCCCCCCCTTGGTATATTTCACTTGTCTATATATATATATATAGACAAGAGAAATATACCAAGGGGGTGTATATATATATACACCCCCTTGGTATATTTCACTTGTCTATATATATATATATAGACAAGAGAAATATACCAAGGGGGTGTATATATATATACACCCCCTTGGTATATTTCACTTGTCTATATATATATATATATATATACACACACACACACACACCCTTGGTATATTTCATGTATATATATATACACCCCCTTGGTATATTTCACGTATATATATATATATATATACACACCCCCCTTGGTATATTTCACTTGTCAATATCATGTGGTGGGGCATTCTCCCCTGATCTAAACGAGAACTAACCATTGCCTTTGCAGCAGCTTTGGCGAGAAAAAAAATACATTGGGGGGGGGAATATTTCTACCAGCAAAATGTAAGTGGGAAAGGGGGAGGGGGGATGAAAGAGAAGTGCCGTGCTTTTTCTATTGATTTTTTTTTCCCCAAAAAAGCTGCCCCGTAGAAATGGTCCTTTAAAAATCCTCGTGTTCGTTATTTATTTCCGTCTTGGACGTTATCTCACTCGCTGATGTGCCTTGCTGAGCAGATGCGCGTCCATCAGCCGGGGGAGCGCTCCGGCGAGAGCGGCGGGCAGGGCCCGGGGGAGCGCACTAACGCGGCCGTTGCCCGTCACAAGGACCATTTCTGGTCGGTGACTTCAGAAGCGTCAGCTCCGAGGTGCGCGAGTGCTGCCGAGCTCAGACTCCGGCCCCAGCTCCTGGATTTCACGAGGTTTTGGTGCTGTCTCCTGCAGCTCTGCTGCCACAAGGAAAACCGCCCCAGTGTGGTTTTTTCTCTTCCCTCCGAGCCCATTGGGAAGCTTGGTTTTCTCGTTTGTAATTTTTGCGGTGGCTGTAGCTATTACACTTGCATTTCTGGATCATGCATGGGTGTGTGAGGGGGATGGGGGGGGGTCCATAAGTTATGCAAATTATAAAACTCCTATCGAGTGTATGGAAGTTAGTCTCTATTTATAGACTATGTCGAGCCTGGTAAGGCAATACAGCGGTCCATAAATCTCTGCAAGACAAAGACACGCGCCCAGCCTCTCTCTCTACCTGCGTGCATATAACACATCACGCAACCATACATGTGAGAGGGATCTAAAAGCAAAATCCGAGAGCGGGGAATAGCCCCGATCCTGGTCTGTGCGGGAAAGAGATGCTGGAGCGATCTACCCTGCCCTGTCCTGTCTTCCGACCCGATCTGTCAGATTGTCCTGGGAAGAGCTCGAGGTTGTATTTGCCTTCGCATGGGCAGGGGGACTCTGGGCTGAGTGCCCTGCTCCGGCGCCCGCCCCGCGGAGCAGGTGGCCGCTGCTGCGGGTGTTAAGCAGGTGAGTCGAAGGGAGCGGATTCTGCAGGGCAGACCCGGCTCCTCCTCTCTGTCCCGCGGGGATGCTCTTGCTTAGCACACCCGCCGCGGGGACACGGCTTGGAGACCGACCCACCACTGTCGGCCCAGGGGAATGGGCTCCCGGGACAAGACTCTCGCTGTCAAGTAGAAAAATGTCCTCCCCCCCCCCCCCCCCCGGGTCGCTCTTCCAAGACCCCCGGGCTGCTTCTCTCCCTGCCTAGGACCCGGATCCTCCCGTCACCGTCCCCTACAGCCCCCAAAGCTTCCCTTATCAGTCGACCGTGAGCCAAGCCCCCCACTGAAACTCCCCCCTCCCCGGGGGGCGCTTTATGACATGCAGACTAATAGCCCCTCACTAGCAACTTCAGTTCTCTCCTAATAAACTGCAGGAAAATGCCGGGGTCGGGCCAGGAAATGTGACAACATGAAATGCAAGACGCCGAGGGCTGCGGGTTTTCTGGTGGGGAAGGCAGGCTTGGCGAGCCCGTGTCCGAGCTCCTGCCAGCAGCCCCCGCGTCCCGGGGGAGCGGGGGGGGGGGGCACGGCTCTCTGCTCATCGCGCTGGTATGTTAAGGATCGGGCTAATTGATCGCGTTGCATTTTCCCGCTTATTATTTATTGCTCTAATTACTGCTCGCTTTCTACTGGAATTTGTTTGAAATACCTACCTGGCTATACCTGGAGCCCTTGCCAGCTCCCTCCAGCCTGGCTTCTAATCGCCGCATCTGCTTTGTGTCAGAAAATACTTTGGAAGGCATTTAACTTTGCATTAAAATAACTAATTAAAGGCACGCCCCCGCCGCCTCTTGCGAAAGGTGGGGGGGGCTGGAGTCCCGGCGTGGTGCTTAATGGGAGCAGCTCTGATTTCCCTGCAGGTCCTGTGATTGATTCGGGTTACCAACCCTCCCGCAGGGCTGCGCCCATAGGAGGCGGCTGATGAAGTCTCCGGAGTTAATGCCCGACACCTCCCTCTCGTAAACTCTAATACTCAATTGCCTCCGCCTTTCTGGAGGCTTTAATTGGCGCAAGTTCATCAGGGGCGCGGGGCCGGGCCCCGGCGGGCTGCGAGCAAGTGTCACGGGCCGGCCCCGCTTTGTCATGCTAACAGCAGCGCCCGCGAGGTTGGAGCATTTCCTTCAACACCCTTCTGCTCGGCAATAAATCTGTATCCCATTTAAGGATCTCTCCTAACACTCGCACAAAGCTCCCGTGCTCAAAGACTTTCCAGCGAAAAGATTTAGATGTAATCCCTGACACCGCTGATTTATGCCCAAGGTGGAGAATACCGCTGCTTTATTTATCGCCCTGCCAGCCCCGGTTAAGCAGGCGCTCAGGGAACATTTGGGGGCTGCGGGCTGGAAAGGGAAGGGGGAGGGGGTGTTTCCCCCTCTCCCCTGTAGTCAGGGGTAATGGTGTCGGGGAGGAGAAAAAGAAGCGGTTGTCTCAAGTTTTTATGTGGCAGTAAATACTAATTTGAAAAGTCTGCCCCGGGTGTCGTGCTCCTCCGGGTTCGTGCCTGCAAGCTGCGCGGAAGGGACCGGATCCGAAGTGCGCGGAGCTCGGCGGGGGCCTTGCTGCGGGTGCGTGGCCAGAGCCCGGGCTCCTGAAGCCCTTCGTGAGATAAGGGAGCGACCCGAGTCCTGACTTCGGGTCTAGACCGAGTCGGGCACCCTAAGAGACCAAGACCCCGCCGCCGGCAAGCTCGGGGCCCCATCCTGAAAGCTGCCGAGCTTCCTCAGCTCCCTCCAGCTCGGCCAGTGTTAGGTCAAGAAAGCCCAGGAGGGTTAAAGGGGTGCCCCCGCTCAGTCCTGTTTAACCCTTGTTCTCCCTGCCGCGTGCAAAGGCACGGGCAGACATGGCTCAAGGGCGAAAGAAAATCCCAGCTGCAAAAACACGAATCAAACAAGCAATCAAACAAAAACATCCCACCCCTAAATGACCCCCCAAAAGGCTCCCCATGCACAGGTGACGACGAAAACGGTAACGCCGCTCATGCTCCTCACCCGTTTTATTAGGAAAGAAAAATGTATTGATCGGGATCCGAGTCCCTTGGCTGGCTTCTCTGGAACAGGATGGTTTTCTTATCCAAGAGGAAAAACAGGGGAAAAGGCAAAAGCACCACAGTGAAGCAAGGGTTAGGGGGAGCACGCATGTCTCCAGGAAATCAGCAGGGGAAAGACTGACTGCATCGCGCCCTGATCCGGCAGAAAGGACCCTGCAGCCTCAGGCCGCACCTGTTCCAGTCCAGGAGAGGGACCACGGATGAGAGCCCAATGCAGGGGTGATGAGGGGGAGGGAAATGCATTACATTCCCACTCGGCCATAATACAGCTTATCCTGACTTGTCCTCTGTGTCTAGACTGCGAAGCCTCGACCTGTCTAAGCACCACTCCTGTGAACTATAGCACGAACATTTGCTGGCTCTTCTCTCACTGAAGGTAAACTCCCGGGGAGGGGACTGAAGTCCAAATCAAATGGAGATGCAAGGGATTGCGCCCAAGAGGCAAGCAAAAATGTCAGTATGACACACAATAGTGCAAAGAACAGAGGCGCCTGAGAAGAGTTGTTAAAAAACAACCAAAGCTCATAAAAGCCTTGGCTTTTGACCTTGAATTTTTGGCTCAGCCTGCCACGGATTTGGCTTTTATTCCTATTAAGATTTAGAGAGGGCAAAAAAATAATAATAATAAATAATACAGGCAAAACTACACAGAAAACGCTGGATATCCTCTTTGATCATGACCCAGGACTGCTCAAACAGAACTGTAAACTCTGACAAACCCACACGCACTTGAGCAAGTTTTGTGGTTTTTTTTAAATTTAATTCGAAATAAGAGATAAGGAAAGAATAAATCTTCAATAAAATATATAAACTTGTACAAGGCATCCCTTTCAAAGGGACTTTAATATCACGGGAAAGTGGGGCTGGGTGAGGGGGACTGGTCAGGGGTTGACAACACAGGTCAAAAACTTGGAGTAAGTCAAAACTTTGTGGCTCGCTTCTTCCCCACAATATTCTAAAAAATGTACATGCAGGAGACATCCTACCTTCTGCAGTCTGTATCCTCTATCAAAACCTTGCCACAAAATTTAGCAATAGCAATAAAACAATAAAATAATTAAAAGAAGAAATCCGGGCTTAGACAATCCCACTTTCACAATAAAACCAGGGGAGATGAATAGCATCCCTACTGCCCATGTCTTGGGTTGGTTTTTTGTTTTTTGGGTTTTTCTTTTTGTTCTTTCTTTTTTGCGGGGGGTACCTGGGTCTCTCTGTGAATTGAGCATGATTTCTCTCATTGACATTCTCTTTGCCAGGTAATCTTTAAAAATCAGATTATTGCAAATAAACAAGGGTATGCTCTGATAATCTTTGCCGGCTCTCTACTTCAAAAAATATATAACCCAACTATTTTCTCTGCGTCTCTGTTTCCCTCCTTTAAATAACAAGAGAGAGCCCAGAATACAGATGTAGGTGAAAATACGGGGCAGCAAAGCAGGATAGAGGATCCCAAAAATCTCTGAATTCTTCCTTCCCCTCCACGGGCCTTAATATTTAAGAGATTTATACAGATCAAAAATATACATGAGCCAAGGGGGAGGAGGGGGTTACTTAACTCATATAAGGGGCCGATTCTGCATTCTGCCTATTACCCTTGTCTGGACTATCTTTGGGTGGGTTTCCTGCTCAAAAAGGCAGGAACTTTGGTGCCTTTGGCCTCTTCTCTATTTACATTATGAATATAGCTATCATTTATTTTGTTTACAAGCCCCGCAAAACTCTTACACCTTATTTAACTTTCCCTTCCAATATTGAGATCCCATTTAGAGAATGAACTTTTAAAAACAGATCTTGGGCTTTGCCTGGGGGAACTAGGCCTCAGATAGAAGACTGCTGGTTTACCCATTTTTAGTGTGTAGTATTAACCCCCCTCCCCCCTATTTAATAATTGGTATATGTTTTTACATGTTCCTTTTGGGATCAGTCCGAGTGCTCAGATCACACTCAGAGGAGAGCTAGCAGGTTCCTCCCCCCTGCCCCTCCGACCTGGAGCACAAACAGGTTGCTTTGCTTTTATGCCTAGGCAAACTCCTAGACACTTGGTATGGCACATGCAGACAGAAAGGCCAGTACTGCTATGGTACCGCATTCTCAGATGGGACAAAATCCACCAGAAAGTCTCTGCTTTTGCTTTCCCATCTTCTTAGGATAAGTGGTACATGCTATATCCGACAGGAGTAGCATAGAGTCCTACAGGTGAGATGGGGAGCACAGGTCTGTGAAAGGGATAAGATGTTCCATACAGAGAAGCAGCCTGGATGGGAGAATTGATGGGGAAGGGTAGGCTGAACCCAGATGGCAACATGGGCTTGGCAGCCATTTTAAGCTTCTCTAACTCAGCTTCCTGCAGTCTCTTGGCCTTGGCCCTCCGGTTCTGGAACCAGATTTTGACCTGGGTCTCTGTGAGGTTGAGCGAGCTGGAAAACTCTGCTCTCTCCGCAATGGACAGGTATTGCTTCTGCCGGAATTTGCGCTCCAAGGCCAGCAGCTGGGAGGTGGTGAAGGGGGTCCTGGGCTTCCTGTTAGTCTTGTGCTTCCTTAGGGTGCAGGCTGTGGGACTCAGGTGTCCTGGAAGGAAAGAAAAGGCCAGTTACTGAAAAAGCAGAGGAGGAAGAGGATACTTAAAGAAGAGGTGGGGTGAACTGGGTTTGGGGTCCACCACTCCTGCCAGGAAACCCCATCACAAGAGTCTAGGGACCAATGCTCCTAAGAAGGCACTAGCAGCAGCTTCCAGCCAAGGCAGGAGGTCAACTCCTGGGCTGAAAGGGCAGCCAGGACTTCACACAAGGCAGAACCTGTCAGTGATCCAGTGCTGTAGGATCCTCAATGGGGACCCCTGAGGCTGGGGTACATGGTGCAGGGCTTCAGAGCCTGGTGCCAGGATGCCCCAGCTGGCTGTGGTCAGTGGGACAGACCCGGCTCATGCAAGCAATAGGATCCCAGGTGTATCCTGCACCGGGTCCCACCCAGCAAACCCCACTTGTCCTGGAGGGAGCTTCTGCCCGGGACTGGAAAATGAGGGGCGATCCTCCTTTTATTTGACACTGTTCTTAGGGAAACTGTGGTCAGTGTTGCCCTTGAATTACTTTGTTTTGCCTTCCTTTTCCTTTCAGCCAGGCAGCAAGCTGGCTTTCAACATTTCTCTTGTTTGACATACACGAATGTAAAAAACAGAAGTGGATGTTCCCGATTGCCGCCTTCTCCAGCCCCATCCTATGAAGGACAGGGGGTGCAGCAACCCCCCCAAAGATTTAGCTTTTAATATTGGCCTGATACGGATTGCCTTGGAAGTAAGCCTGGAATGGGCGCAGCTTTAACACTTGGGGGACTCGGTTTGCTTTGCAACTCGTTTCAGAGGGGAAAACAGGCAGGTCTGAAGTTGAATATTGAAAGTGCCACTCAGCCTGCCCTCCATGCAACCCCCCGGCCCTGCTTTTAAGAAATGTCACATCTGCCCGTCCTCTCGATTGCCCCTTGCTTTTGCAGAGAATTGCGGAGGGATTGTCTGAATTTGCGAGTGAACCAGGCGGGTTTTTAAATGCAGGGATTGCAATGAGATTAAAAACCAACCAACCAACCAACCAACCAAACGGCAGTATTTCAGAACAAGGAGGAGGAGAAGGGAATGATTTGATCTAGATCTTAAATCCTGTTCTTTCTACTGCACGCAGGGGGCGAGTGGGAAAACAGCCCGTCAGATGCAGCCCCGTGCTGACCCGGGCCGCTCCAGTGCGGGACAACCGCGCCCGGGCAAAGCTCTCCCCAGCCAGGACTGCCGAAAGGCCTCCTTCCTGCTCTCCTACTTCCCTCCTTGCAAAGCAGGCGAAGGGGAGGAAGAGGAGACGAAGGGTTTGTCCTAAAGGGCGACTCGCACAAAACTGCCGCAAAACGAAAGCACGTCTGTCTGCTCGGGTTTCCACTGCAGCCAAAGAGGAGAGGTGCGGAGTCTTCAAACGGCATCAGGAACTGGCCCGGCGGGGGGAAGATTTTTGCTGCTTGCAAAGCAGGCGGAGGACTCACTTGAAGACCAAGCAGAGGTTTCCGCTGACACTTGCCAGCTTGAACCTATGCCTCGTCCGCCCTGCGACTGCCTGGCAAGAGCCTGGTCGGGCGCAGGGGGGTGGGGGTCTTCCAGCCTAACCCGCCGGCGCCGGCAGAGAAGCGAGCGCTTCCCCTGCGCTTTTCATTGCACCCTTGGACCCGATCACCGGGAATTATAGCAGCGTCCCGATCACAGGATCCCACCGTGAAGTCTTCTGGTTCCTCCGACCATTCACTCACCCCCCCAAAGTAGCTTTTCAGAGACCTCCGTCTACCTGCCGAGATGGCCCAGGCTGCAGGACCAGCCAAAGCCTTTTACTACACAGGGCTGATTTTTCTCTCGCCTATTAAGAGTCAAAAGGTGCTTGATTTGACAAGGATGCCCTGGGGAGGGAGAAAGGGACACACGCGCGCGCGTGTAACAAGCTCCTATTTTCCATATTGCTTTAATACACTTCCCACCGCCAGCGGTGAACCCCGAGATCCCAGCACACACTTTCAGGCTGTTTAAGGCCGGTCGCTCACCCTGAACGACTGACCCCTGTGAAGGGCTGGAGGGGGGAAGCAAAGGGGGGAGCTGGGTGAATCCGTGACCCTGCCCAGGGAAGGCAGGGGCAGGGGGCGGCGGAAGACGAGCGCGGCCTTGTCCACGTCGAGCTCGGCTCCAGGCCGTGTTGGAGAAGGGAGGTGGTTAAGCTCCGGCCAGGGACGCTGCCACACGGGGACCGGGAGACTTTCTACAAGAGAGGCCGAATCGCTCCTGCTTTCTCCCCGTCGTGTCACACGACCTCTTCAGGAGACGCGACTAATCCGGCTGAGGGGCGAGTGAACAACGGCAAGGACCGAGACACAAATACGCCAGGAAGGAGCGGGGGCCGCATCCACCGTGCAGCTCCTTCCAGCGAGCAGGTCCCGGGCCGGGCCGGGCCGGGCCGGGCCGGGCGCAGGCAGAGGGGCTGAAGGCCCCGGCTGCAGGTGCGTGACAAGCATGGGGGCTGCCCCTCACGCCTCCAGCCCTTTCACTCCTGCTCCTCCAGCCTACAGCACCCCGGACGCGGACGCCGGGAAGCCTGCTGCGAGCCCAAGGGTGAGGGCGAAGGGCAGATCCCGATGGGCCCGCGGGCCGGCCGCACTCCCCGGCGGCCGGGAGCGCACCGCAGGAGCCCGCGGCGACTGCAGCTGCCTCCCCGGCGCCGGC